TCTCACTCCAAAACTGTAGGTTGCGGAGCGGGTTTGACTTCGTGATAAGTCGGTGCTGTTGAGAAACTGAGGGTGTGGGGTAGACCATGAGCAGTGGGCCGGAACTACCGAGAGACAGTGTTGCCTCTTCTAATCATGAGTTCTTTCTTGCTTTGCTCTGCTTTCCCCTTGTCATTTTAGAACGAATTTAGGCTATTTTTAGGAATAATTTATATCGCGCCTCAGTGAGTCAATTTTTAGAAAGGTTTGATAAGAAAGAAACTTTCAGGTAACCATTCGGGAGGCAAATTCTGAGCAGCTGTCTTCGAGATGTACCCACTCGCAGTGCGCTCAACAAATCTCGGCTTTTGTTTTATGTTTTGCCGCACACCACACCACTAACCACTCCACGTATAGTCATATGACGTCAATACTCTTCAAATTAGTAACCCCACCGTGACTGCTCCTAAACGCCACCTGCCTCGTACCGGCTCGTGAAGCGAACAAGGGAACGGAGATGCTCGTGTCGACAATTTTTCTTGTTGCGTGAGGTGTTATGGCCAGTCTTACGAAGAGTGAGCCTACTCTAGTCTCTGTCTGAGCCTGTGACCTTTGTTAAAACTGTGAAGGAATCAAAATGACCCTCCAACAAGGGGACTGGGTATGTTTGGGTCGTGGGTAAAGGTCCGGGCTGAATTTTAGAAATTTTGGATATACCTTATTGTATTTATGAGTTTTGATTTTTTGTAGATGAATTGCTTCCGCAGAAGAAGGCGGTTCCGGGTGTGAGAGTTTCGAGGAAATTTGAGAAAGAACTTTTTTTCTCGAATTGTGCACAATCCCTTCACTTTTTAGTCCTTAGAAAGAAAGGAACATGAACATTCTCATAAAGGATACTTTTTTTATCATCATTTTTATGCTTCGAAGGCATAATCCTTTAGCGGTATTATTATTGCCCATATCTTAAAGTCCCCTTTTTAAAGATATCCCGCCTCTTCCCTCGAGGGATAGAGGTGTGCACCGCAATAAACTTTGTCTTGGCCCTGCTGCCACGGCGTTCGAAACAATTATCGACATGTTCCGCACTTTTCAGAGGAACAGCGAGTGACCCCTAAGATAATGACGACGTCCTCGTACCTTTATAAACATTGTTTCAAACGGTACCCCGCATCCCAGCTCCTATTCGCATTTAATAAGAATCAGAGGAAAAGTACCCCTAAATAATGACACGGTCCGTAACCTTAAAACATGGTAAGGTACTCCCACCCAAGCTCATTCGCTTTAATAAGATCAGAGTGAAAAATACCCCTAAATAATCGACCAACGTCCCGTAACCTTTAACAAATAACCATGTTTAGGTACCCCCTATCCCATTGTTCTATTTTCGCTCCTTAATAAGGTAATTCAGAGGTAAATATGTTGAGCCGCTAAGATCTAAATAATGACACGTCCCGTACCTTAAAACATGTTAAGGTACCCCCATCCCAGCTCTATTCGCTTTAATAAGAATCAGAGGAAAAATACCCCTAAATAATGACACGTCCCGTACCTTAAAACATGTTAAGGTACTCCCACCCAAGCTCTATTCGCTTTAATAAGAATCAGAGGAAAAGTACCCCTAAATAATGACACGTCCCGTACCTTAAAACATGTTAAGGTACCCCCATCCCAGCTCTATTCGCTTTAATAAGAATCAGAGGAAAAATACCCCTAAATAATGACACGTCCCGTACCTTAAAACATGTTAAGGTACTCCCACCCAAGCTCTATTCGCCTTCAAAAGAAT